GCCCACAGAGACACTTGAGCAACTCGGCCACTCGAGGAGCGCAGCCGGGCAGATGCGTGTTGGGCTCTGGTGCCTGCCTCTCTCGGAGCCCAGAGAAGCCTGGGCAGCCGGGGCGCCTGCTTCTCACCACTCTCAGCGTGGGTGCTGCGGGGCCGGCGATGGGTTAGGGGGGTCCCCTCATGCCAGCAGGGGTGATTTGGGGAGCCCTGCAGGCCCAGTGCTTCCAGCTCCCCTGGAGGAGCCCGAATTCAGATTTTTGACACGAATTGTTCTGACTTTGAAAGACTGGAGAGAAGGGATTAAACGGAAAGAAGTCGCCTCTGGGCTCTCGCTGGGCGCTGACCCTTCCTGCTCGGCTCCAGCTGAACCGCCAAGCATTGCCGAGGACCAGAAGGCAAGGTGTCCCGAAGCCTTGGCAGTGGGCGGCAGGCAGGGAGAGCTGTCCCTGTTGCTCCTGCCAGTCCTGTCCAGCTTTCTGCCCACAGAGTGTTTCCTCCCCAGTGCCACTCCAGGAAACCTGTGGGGCTCCCTCTGCAGGTGCCTGGAGCCAGAGGGGCTCAGAGGGTGGTGCTGCTGACCGCTGTGGAGAAACAGCTTCCGGCCACTCAGCGCAGGCTCTGGGCAGGGCCATTCTGTGGCCAGGGCAGGGACACACTGGACCCTGAGGCTTCTCCCCAGGCTGAGAACTGCGCCCCTCTGAGCATGCCTGTCCCGTGTCATCTAGTCCAGGCACAAAACTGCTGGCCACGCTCAGCCCAAGGCCGTGTCTGCCAGGGCCTGGGAGGGTGCTGACCGCCCCTGGCTGCCTGCATCTTGGGGTGTAGGAGGGAGCTGCAGGGTGCACAGCTGCCGCCTAGGCACAGCAGGGAGCTGCGGGTCAGCGGGAGGGACACCGGGAGTCCAGGGCTGACTTTTCCGTGTTCCGGCGAGGACAGGGCAACGCCGTGGGGTGTCCGGAGAGGCAGGAGTTTCCCCCCTGCAGGGGAGGAGTGAGGAACGGGAGGGGAGGGGACCGGAAGCAGCCACATGCCCAGCGCTGCTGAGGGACTGGCCGGCCGACACAGTGGCTTTGCCTCTGATTTCCTTGTCTCTACGGGAGATGGAGCCGGGAGCTTCAGGGCCAGGCTGCCCGCTCTGGGCTGGCCGCCTGTCCCTCCCCTTCTCCTTTGTAACCGACTGACACCATTTTGTGTTCTGCCTGGTGACAGGTTCTGCTCCTCCTGCACCTCGGTCTCAATGCCTGGCCCATGCCCAGCTCTGCTGGCCTTTGCTTGGGTTCCTCCCCTTCTGCTCACCAGCAGTCTATCAGCAAACCCTGAGCTGTATCAGCTCTTCCGCCTCCTCCCTCCTGCCCTGTGCTCCCACCTCAGCGTCCCTCCTCCCACAGCCCTGCCGCCTGTCCTCTGCCCGCTGTGTCGTGAGGCGGCTGAGGTCCTCACCGGAGGAGGTTGCCTGGCCTTAGGATCTCAGCTCAAACTGAGCTAAATAAACCCCTCTCTGTACTGAGCACCAGTGCAGCTTTGTCTGCTGTAGACACGGAAAGCTGTACGCAAATGCTATGGCGGGCGAGGTGAGGTCTGTTCATGCTGTAACCCTGACCCGTGGGAGGCTGAAGCAGGAGGGTCACAAGGTCGAAACCAGTCCGGGCAACTTTTGGCCTAGGCCAGACCCTGTCTCAAAAGAAACAAGAAAAGGCATGAGAGGTGGTTTAGTCTCGAGGCCCGGAGTCCACTCCTCAGCACTGCAGGACAGAACCCAAGCCCTCGATGGGTGACACAGACGTGGGCTGATGGACTGGCCACCTGGCCTCCCTTACCTCCGGTAACCTCTCTGGGCTCAGTGTCCAGAGGGCGTCCAGGCAGGAGGACAGTCAGCACCAGTGACAGCTGTGTGGCCGTGCACCTGACGGTGTCCCGCAGGAGTGCAGGCCCATCCAGAGTTGGGGCGTGCGTACATGTGCCTGCGGGGCCCTGCAGAGAGGACCCTGCCATGGGGCGGGGTAAACCGAGTCTCCTTCAAACCACATGTGCAAGTGAAGTGGATCAGCCATGTCACGTGGCTTCTCTTACAGGAGACTCTGGAAAACAGAACTTAAGAGAGAGGACAGGTGGGAATAGAGGGCAATGTGCTGGTGGGGGAGCCCCGAGTGGGAGGGAGGGGTGTCATGGGGCTGACGGGAGGGTGACAGCCTCGAGGGCCTGAGTGTGACCCCCACAGGGCGTGGGCGCCTGGGCTGGGCACCTGGGCTCATGAGAAACCCCCTCCCCCTGCCGTCCCCTGCCCAGCCCGGAATCTCTGGCCTCTCTCCCGCCCCGTCCGCAGCAGCTCTGGGGTCCTCTCCCGAGTGTCCCTGTTGTGTCGTGGTGGCTGCCTCCGTTTCCCAAGCTTGTGGGCAACAGTCATGGTGATTCCGTCACTGGAACAGAGACACCATCTTGTCCCCACCGGGCCTGGTGTTGCCCTGGCCAGGCCCTGAAGTTGGGGTGACTGTCGGAGAGACGGACAGGAGGCTGGTGTGCGTGTGTTGCTCACCCCAGTCTCCCCTGGGCGTCGTCAGAGCACCCACATCCAGGCACACCTTCTGGAATGTTCCCTGTGCCAGGTGGTAACGGCCCTGCCTGGAGCAGTGTGGGTTAGGGGTGGCAGCCTCGTCTGGGCCATCGGGACCAGAATAGGACTCAGCGCTGGGTGCGGCAGCCGTGGCTCCCCACTGGCAGGGATCCCCCCAGAATGTGGGGCCCGGTGTGTGGATGCTGGCGGGAGCTGGTTCTTCCTCTCCAGAGCTGAGGAACAGCACTGTCTGCAGGAGCCCCGAGGGCAGCCGGGGCCCAGCTTTGGTCTGTGCAGCCTCAGTGGCACAGCGTGGGCACCGAGCAGAGATGCATGGCGCAGGACCCCGGCCGGGCAGCTCTGTGTGTCGGGTCATGGCTCGGGCTAAGCTCGAGGACACTGATCTTTGCCGGGAAAGAAAATTAAACCAGCAGTCAGTCAATCAACCATCCGCCAACCTTTGCACACGGTGACACCGCTGTCCCTGGGGCCCAGGCCGGAGCAGGGCAGGGAGGAGGAGGCCTTTGGGAACAGCAAGTGTCTGCCTTGTGGCTGGAGAAGTGTCTCGAGGTCCAGCCCACTCGGCAAAGCCTCGTCCGTGTCTCTGTCCATACCAGTGAGCTCGGTGCAGGTTTCTCTGTGCGTAACTGTGTTATTCCGCTTTGCTCTTTAGGTCATGGCCCTAAACTACCCCTTCACAGGGATTTTGGGGTCTTTTTTTGGGCTGGGGATGACATTTGTCACCTGCCACACGTGGCAAGGCAGCCCTGTTCCCTGGGTCACTGCACGGAGTCTGAGGTCCACTCACTGCCCGGGGTCCTGTCCATGCTCCAGCATTTCTGGTGGGAGACAGGACTTCCGGTGAGGCTCTGAGGACCCCGCCTGCCCCTCCAAGGCCAGACCTGTGCCCTCTTCCCCGCTGCATGCCACACACTGCGTGTCACTGACCAGGTGGCTGAGCAGACTCAAGGCCCGGGGGAAGACGCTCCCCTTCACTGCCCACTGTGCCCAGGGCTGCAGCTTGTGTGCTGGAGTGAAGGGCCCCTGAAGACCTTGCTCCTCCCCTGACAGGCGGCCCTGGAGGCCCAGGAAACTGAGGCCCAGCTCTGACCTTGGCATGCTTTTCCACAGGCACTGGGGACTGCAGGTCCGAGGGCAGAGTCCCAGCTGGGCTGGCATCTCAGGAGGGCACTGCTTGGTTTGCAGAGGGCCGGGTCCACACTGTCTGTCATGGTGACATTGGAGGTGGCAGGAAGTGGCTCAGGAGGGCTGGGAGCTGAGTTGCAGTGGGCACTTGGAGCAGGGCCCGACACATCCCTGTCGCTCCTGACTGTCCTGAGACCTCTGGCCCATCTGCACAGTTTGGTTCCCCCCAGTTTTTGTTTTCCCCCATCATTTTGCCAAAAAAGCCAGGAATTCCTAACACGCACATATTAACGGGTAAAAAGTCTCCATGTCTGACCCCTCCAGCTGGCCTGGACGGGAGGCATCAGGCTCAGAGAATCCGTCAGCGGGTGTGTGCCTACTCATGGCCTGGGCGGAGCCTCAGATCCTGCCAGAGCCTCGCTCCCCCTGTGGGGACTGGTCCTGGAAGGCGCACCGTGCTAGTGGTCAGGAACCTACTTTCTCAAGTTGGACGTGAAGCCTGCGTCCCTGCGGCCTTGAGGTCTCCCGCGCACTTGGAGACACCCGGCGGCCTCTCTGGTCTGGTTCCTGGGCGATGTCCCTGCCCTGGGAAGGCTCCACTGAACCTGAGCCAGGTGGCTTCTGGGGTGGGCAGCTGGCCCTGCACAGCACCAGTGAGGGGCGAGTCCTCCGCAGCCCCCACCGTCCTCAGATGGAGGGCGTCCTGGGTTCCCCTGCAGGTTGCCCCGCACTGAGCTCCCGTGCGCCTGGGAACACACACACAGGGGACAGCCGGGTCTCCAAGTGCCATCACGTGCGGCTCTGCGTCTCTCTGTGACTGCCCCAGCTGGGCAGCGGGTGACACAGATGGGCAGGCTCCTGCTGGAGCAGCCTTCAGGGCCGCTGTGGCTGGGAGGACTCGGCCTGTGTCTCCCGTAGCGTGGCTGTGTTTGGATCAGCATCTCCGGCTTCTGTTCTGGATTCAGATCCTGAGGGGTTTTTTTGGCAGGGCCGATTTTATCTGGTTAACAGCTGACCTTGTGTCCCCGAGGCTGTGTAAAACTGGTGTAAATTTTCCTAGGCCACCGGGGGAGGCCGGGAGAGACCAGCTGCCCGCCCCCAGCACCGAGTGCTTAGTGCAAAGTACCTTGTTCTGGTCTGGTACCATCGCTGTACCCTGGAAATCAGTCCTGAGTCACCCTCAGCTGGGGGCACACACAGGGTTATCCCCGCCCCGTCAGCTTCCAGGTCAGAGCTGGAACCCCACCAGGGCTGCCCGTCCTGCCAGGTTGGCACTCTCTCACGGTGCCCTTTCCTTCGCCCAGGAAGGTGAACTGAAGATGCCACTGCCCGAGGAGAGCGTGGCCTGAGGCCCTGAGACGCAGGCCTCCCACGAGGGCCCCGCAGCATGACCAGGTACCTGTGCCCCTGGGAAAGGAGGGGGAGGAGTCGGCCACAAGCGTGGACTTGGCTCTGGCCATGCCCCTGAGCTGCTCCTTGGGGCCAGCAGTGTCCTTGCTGTATTTGGGACGGAGCCTCCCTGTGCAGTCCAGGCTGGCTCTGAGCTCACAACTGGCCCCAGCTGGCCTTCGGTTCAGGTGATCCTCCTGCTTCAACCTCCTGAGTGCTGGGATTACAGGCATGCACCACTACACCTGGCTTTTAAAACAGTCCATTCTATCCATCATTGTTCAGTGCTGAGTACTGAACCCAAGACCTTCCTGCTGAGCTAGGTTACTGGCCCATTGTTGTGTTTTATTTTTGCTAAGTTGTCTAGGTGGGGCTTGAACTCGTGACCCTGCGTCTAGCAGGCGCCGTGTGCTTAGTGAGAGCCCAGATGCAGCCTTCAACATCTGGCCCTTGCCCTTGCAGTGCCCTATGATTCCTGCCATGAGGGAGGCTGGCCAGGCTCCGTGCCCCCACCCAGCCCATCATGGTGCCACCCTTGGCTGTCCCAGAGTCCCCCAGCGGCCCCGGCTTCCACCCAGGAAATTTAGCTTCAGAATCGCCTCCTGGGGACACCATCTGGCTGCCCTGTGCTGCTCTCCCTGCTCCTCCAACCCCGTGACCTTGCCCGGCTCTGGTGCCACCCCACACCGTCCAGCACATCTTCACCCACATGTCTGTCCCCTGAGGACATCAGTGTCACTGTCCCCAAGGCTTTGCTGTCCCAACCAGCCCCGGCCTCCAGCATGCGGCTGGGGGAGCCTCGAAGCTCTGTGCTTGGTCCTGGCTGATCTGCGGCTTGGGGCCTTTGAGTCCCTGCTTTTCCCACACAAACACTGTGGGCAGCGGGACCCCAACATTGCACTGTAAATCCAAAAGCATCTGGGCGTGGGGTTTCCCTTCCTCCTTCCTGCCTGGAAATTTTTAAAAGATGTGCTTTTCGGAAGATTGGGAATGCCGAATGGTGTAAGATAGGCGGCCCCCCAGGAGAACCCCCACGGTCTCCGTGGCCCTGCGTCCACTGCAGGAGCAGCAGGAGGGTCGCAGGGAGGTGTGAGTTCCCGGGTTACAGTGGCCTTAGGTGGGCGTACCCTGTGGCTGTCAGCAGTTAAGCAGGTGAAGAAAATCCTGTGTGGACACACACGTTGTAGACACAGAGTGAAGCATTCCCGGCCCTCAGTATAAAGGGGGCTCCAGCTCCACGTGACAGGGCCACCTGGGCACCGTGACCAGTGCGAAGAGCTGACCACAGGGCCGGGTCCTGCAGGGCGACCTGCACACGAGGTGGCTGTGTAGACGAGCTCCGGGGTTCACCGCATAACAGGGACAGGGTTTTAGAGTGGGGTGATGTGGGGTTCTGAGGGGGCAGGTGCCTATGGCAGGGTAGGATGTATTTCACTCCATAGCATTGTGGCACATGCCTGTAATCCCCCTGCTCGGGAGGCTGGGGCAGGAGGATCTCTTCGAGCCTGAGGCCAACCTGGATTGCCTAGGAGACGCCCCGGGGGCCATGTGTCTTCATGTGGGTCACTGGACAGGTGGCATGGGTTGTGGGTGCCCGCTGTGACCTGGGCCCGGGGCCCTTTGAGCTGTCTCCCTCTGCAGTCACCTGGCGGGGGCTCAATGGGTCCCCACAAGGGCAGCTGTCTGGGAGCAGGTCACAGGGCCCAGCTTTTCCCGGAGTCAGAGTGGGGCCACAGCTCTGTCCTGCTGTTCTGGGACAGGGAGGATCTCCTGTCCCAAGCAGAGGCCACAGAGAGACCGAGGACAACAGGCTCCTCTAGGGTGGCGGCTTCAAGAGCACATGGAGCCCCGTGGCTGTTGTAACCACTGGCTGTTGAGACGGGAAGTGAGTGTGCTCACACAATTTGAGCCCAGTTCTGCATCTGTTAGGGTGTCCTAGGTGCGGAGGACAGATGGCAGTTGGAGCTGGTATAAGCAAACGGGCCTCAGTAACTAGGATCGTCTTAACCAGCTGCAGGTACAGCTTGATCTAGGTGTGCAAATGAGCCCAACAGAATCCTGGCTTTCCCTCTGCAGCTCTGGGCTCCACCTCCATTTCAATGGCGTTTTGCTCAGGAAGGCTCCTCCTTCACAGTGACAAATGCATGGGAGCTCCAGCCTTCTGTCCTCTACTTCCTAAGCCAGGAGGACAAGACAGTCCTCTAGCCTTACAGGAGACTGTAACTGGGTCATGTGGCCTCCCCCAACCAATCCCTAGTTCCGGAGAAGGGCTTGCACAGATTGGTCAGACCTGAACCAATCACTCTGGTTGTGGTGGAGGTGGGCGGGATGAGAAGAGAGACCGCACTCTGAGTGGCCAGTCTGGATCACACGTGGCCACGCCCTGTAGGCGTGGTCTCCTGAGTGGCCAGGCTGAATCACACGTGGGCACGCCCTACAGGCGTGGTCCCCTGTGCAGTCCGCGATGGAGAAGGAGGCGAAGCCTGAAAGGAAGTCGGTGTTCTCGCTCCTGCAGAGGAGGCGACAGGTGCCAGCTGGGCACGGTGCCCACCCCGGGTCCTAGGCAGGTGACAACAACCTCTGCGTCCCCTCCGCTTCTCCTAGGTGAAGGCGGAGAATGCCCAGCCCAGCCGCAGGCTCATCGCGGTGACCCAGCAGCGCGATTTGGCGTGAAGGAGAAACACCAGCCCCACGCCAAGCTGGAGAACCTAGAACAGGTCCTGAAGGTCGGTGGCTCTCGGTGCTGGGTGAAGGGGCCAGCGAGGGCGGGCTGCTGACTCCAGGGGGCCATGCAGCCGAGCCATTCTGAAGGCCTCATCAACATTCAGGGCTCTCGGGGCTGTTTTTACCCTTTTTGAAAAGCAATAAATAACACAATTGGAATGTTTCTGGAAGCAGTTCGCAAAGCCAATTATGCATTTCCATTTCTGACGTTAAACACAGCTGAGGGGGTGCGGGCAGTGCTCCGGAATGGGAATTGAGCAGACTTCAGTGAAAGCCGGGCGGCTGTGGCAGCTTGTCAACTTTATGAGTGTTACGCTCCTCGGTGTTCAGTGCTCGGTTATCTCGAGAAGGGCTCACTCAGAAATCGCTCCTCCCCATGCGGGTCCTGAAGGTGGTGTGGGATTCAGTGGTGCGATGGCGGCGGGGCCCTGTGGATGCAGCCGGTCCGTGGAGCTGCGTGCAGTGCCGGGGTGGATCCGTGGGTGCAGAATTCCTCCCTGTGCAGAATCTAGATGTCCTATGCACGCAGGCTGGGCCCGGGTGGGGTGCGCTGATCTCAGGGCGAAGGGAGCCTGCCTGGTGCTGGGCAGTGGCAGACAGGTGCTGTCCACTCCAGTGGAGGCCGACAGGGAATGCTTCTCACCATGGCCTCTCAGCTAGGTGTGCCCAAGGGAGGGACACCACCAGACAACCATAAACGGCCACCTCCAACCCATGGTGAGGTCCACGGCCGGCCACCCTGGCGCCACGGCTCTGAGAGAGGAGCCCTGGGACCTGATTCCTGCCACTGCTGGGACGGGGCACTCAGGGTGGCTCTCTGTGGCTGTGACAGAATCCCATCGGAAGGAGGAGGTTTACTGTGGCCCCGGGTCTCAAGGTCCAGTCCGGGGTCAGTGGCAGGGTAGCTTGGCACCTGGGGTGAAGCAGGGGCGACGTGGTGGGGAGGGGCATCAGGGAGGAGGCCGCTGGAGGGTTGCAGAGGGAGCCCAGGTCCCCATGCTGGCCCCGGTGCCAGAGCTGACCGCTCTGCTCAGCTGACCTTTCTCTGCCCACTCTCACGGGGACCCACAGCGTAGGAGATATAGACTCAGAGGAGGCCGCTGGGGTCCAGCTGGTCAGCTCTGCCTCACGTCACCAGCCCTGCAGGGTCTCCCCTTGTGCTCCCTTGCGGGGCTGGGCAGAGGAGGGACACAGGCCTTCAGGGGGCCTCTGAGCCCAGGTACTGGGGTCAGGGAGCTGGAGCTGGTGGTATCTTCTCAAAAACATCTCGTCTACGAAAAAGGGGAGGAAGAAGAAATGGGTGCTAAATGGGGTGGGGTGAGTCCACTAACTAGGAAGGGAAGAGGAGGGGAGGGGAGGGGAAGGGAGGGGAGAGTGGGGGAGGAGAAGTCTGCACACTGGTCTCCAGGAGGACCTGGTGCCCTGTGCTCTTGGGCAGCCCGTGCCAAGCTCCAGGTATGTGCTACCCTTCCTGCCCATCCTGCTGCCTGGTGAGTCCAGGGCTCCGCTGAGCCACTCGCCCCTAGGGGCAGCGCCCCTGGCGTGTGCATGGGGGACACAGGGTGCATCTCAGCCCCTGTCGTCCCAGATGCCCCTAGGGCCACACCTGGGCCAAGCACGCGGGGCCAGGCCTGGACCATGTAGGGGAGATGGGGGTGACATTCGAGACACGAGGGGTCCCCAGCCTGCTTGGCTCGGAGGAGGCGCCGTGTGTCTGTGCCTGTGATGGGCCCGCACTGGGTCCAGGTGGGTCCGGGTGGTTTGCTGGCTGCAGGACTCACGCACCAACGGGGGTCACAGAGCAGCCCGGGGTGCACATCACTGCCCTGGCTGTTTCCTGAGCCCGCTTTCCGATGGCGTGGCCATGGAGACCCAGGGATGCGGGAGTAACTGATCTGTGGGGGACACGGGGTGACAGCAGGGGAGGAGGAGGTGAGCCAGTCATGATTGGTGGGGACACCTTAGCCGAGGCCACGTGGGTACGAGGACTGGGGTGGGCACAGTTTTCGGGGACCCAGAGGTGGGCGAGCAGCAGACAGAGCTCCACGGGAGGGGGCGGGACGTGTCCCTGAAGCCACTGTGAGCCCCAGCCCAGGGCCTGCGGGTGTGGCCTTCTTTGTAACACACCTTGGCAGGGGTGACATTAATGAGGTCACCCCGGAGCACGGTGGCCTGTCCAGAGACGGGGTGCTTGGGGAAGGGAAGAGCTGCACAGAGGAGACATGGCAGAGATGGGCAGAGGCCGTGGCAAGCCCAGGGGACCAAAGGCCACTGGGCAGGAGGGCGGCGTGGGCTGCTCCTCCCTGGAGTCTCCAGGAGGAGCTGGCACTGCCACACCTTGGCTGGGGGCTTCTGTTCTGACCCCAGGAGACAGAATGGGGGCTCCTGGTCCTCGCACTGGCAGACTGAGGTGCACATGCCTTACACAGGTGCCAGCCAGCTGGACACCTGCAGGAGTGACGTCCTCTGAAAGCCACCAGCTCGTAGGAGGTGACATGCGGTCTGCAGACCTCTGGCCCCTGTGAAGCTCCCACGGCGGTCCCGCTGTTGGTTGTGTGCCCAGGAGCCGTGTGGACCTTTGGGGTTACCTTGTGCCCTGTTTGGGTCCTGGGGAGGCCAGAAACGGGCGCCGCCTTCAGTCCTGGGCCCAGCAGGGTGCCCGGCAGCGCCTGCAGGGTACAGGGCGGAGGAGGGGGAGCACGCGTCCCATTCCTGGCCTGTCCAGCTTCCTCTCTGTCCTCCTAAGGGCACTCCTCTCCCCTCCCTACGCATCATGCAGCGGGGCCACTCGGCTTCTGCCCCTGCCGCCCAGGGAGAGCGGGGAGCACAGCAGGAGGATCTCGGGCGACCACAGAGCTTCCTCCTCTTCGGTTCTGATGCGCTTGGGGGGATCATGGGAGCCGTGCTGTGGCCCGGAAGAAAGCATCACGAAGAGGGGGCGAAGATGGGGGTTAGGGGGTCCCCGGAGCAACAGCTTTTCATTGGGTGCAGATGAAACTCCTACATGGACATCGAGACCCCTGGAGCAATGACCGAGTTATTAAAAATATGCAGAAAACAGCCCCAGATGCCTGAAAACACCACACTAAACAGAAAAAGAAACAAAGTGGAAGTGGAAGAGAGGACGCAGGAATCAGCAGACGGAAAACAGCGGCCGTCCAGGTGCGGCCCCAGGTGCAGGCCTGCATCTGTCACAGCTGCTCCTGCGTAGCCAGGCCAGGTGCTGTCCTCTGCCTCAGCCGTATAGACAGACAAGGACCTGAGGCTCGGAAGTGTGGTGGAGCTCGGCCGGAGCACGGGCCGGGCACTCGGGGATGGCGTCGTGCAGCCGGCCCACCCAGCCCTCCTCCTACGGCCGCTGTCCCCAGGCCTGACGCCAGGACCCGCCAGTGGGCTGTGTCCCGACCGTGGGCTGAGGGCCGCTGTCTGTGTGCCCAGGTTCGGCTGGGGATGGGCAGCTGGGAGGAGGCTGGTCAGCAATCAGGAGCACCCAGACTTGTTTTTGAGACAGGGTCTCGCTGTGTAGTTCAGGTTGGCCTCAAGCAAGTGGTTCTCCTGCCTCAGCCTCCCGAGTGCTGGGGTTACAGGTGTGCCCCCCCAGGCCCAGCTCAGCGCCCAGGCTTTGTTTTTGTATCAGGAATCACACTCACGACTTGCCAGGCAAGCGCTGTGCGGCTGAGCTGCATCCTGGCTGTCGATGCCCAGATTGTGGAAGGGACTCCTTGATACCTGAGTCTTTCTAGTTTGACGGATCCAGACACTGTTATCGAACCGCCTTCCAGCTCCCAGAGGTGACGTGACTTCCTCTGATGGATGACTCTGACACGTGCGGGGGACAGGAAGTTGCTGCCACCCAGAATAGTGTTCTCCGTCCATCTTTATCTGAAGACGAGGCCCGGCCCTGTGGTCCTCTCCAGGTGTCGGGCGGAAGGAAGCCGTGCACCTGGGGGAGCTCTCTGTCACCTGGACACGTGGGTCTCACTCTCATGAGACACTCCGGTCCCTCTCACTCGGCAGCCGCGCCCGGCAGAGGACAGAGGAGGCCGCCGGGAGTCCCCTGCGCAGCAGCGTGGCTGGGAAGCGGCCCCTTGCCATTTGCAGGCGACTTGAGCGCGGGCGTTGGTGCCGACATCCGGCTATAAATACCACGCTTCAAAAATAAACCTGCCGAAGGCTCGGCGTGCAGACGGGCAGGTTTGGTGGTGGTGCACGCTCCTGGCGCTTCTGAAGGGGGCTCCCCGGAGGGGCACTGGAGGCTCTGTTCAGCCTGGGGTGAAATGGGGGCTCTGGCACCATCCCGAGGTCCTGGGGCTGGTACTTAAGGGGACCGAGCATCATGACCGCCTTGGAGGAGAGTGGCAGCGCCAGCCGCCCCCGGCATGCAGGTGGCTCTGCCAGCCCGGCGCTCGGTGCTCGCCTCCCCGCATGGCAGGGGACCAGGAGGGAGGGGTTGCCCAGGCCCCAGAAAGTTGCACAGGGGTGGCCCTGGCACACCCTGCACCTTGGTCTCAGTCTCGTCGGTGGAGGCTGAGCACAGCCAGGGGCCGATTGCTCCTGGGGTCCTGCCCTGCCTGGGCTGCCTGCACCACGCACCCCGAACAGTTCCAGGCCTCTCGGAGCCCCGCCCCTCCCCAAGCTGGCTGCGATGTGGGCAGTTTGGGTCCAGCTGTGCTCTGCTCTCCCTCCCTGGCCACTCACCCGGCGCCCTCTCAGGGCCTTTCAGTTTCTAATGCTGGACATGTGACCACGACCCTCTCGTCACAGCACCTGTGACAAGGTCGCTTCCCTGGAACCAGGACTCCCGGGCAGGGGCGGATCTGAGGCCGCATGGCATTGAGACTCTCAGGGGCCCGCACCCTCCTCTCTGGGGAGTGTGTCCTTGTCCCTCGGGAAGCTCCTGGGGCGCTCAGGGAACCCATTCCCCTAAACGGGGAGTGGGAAGGCTTCCTGATCACCAGTCTCGGGGCCTGGCTGTGTTTGACCTGCTGGTCCTAAGCTGGTGGCTTGGCCACTCTGCGCCCCAGTCCCACAGGAAGGCAGCTCCTGACGCTGGGCAAGCTGGGAGTGGACAGGGCAGGGCGCCCCACCCAGGCGTCCTCTGAGTGTGATGGGCAGTGTCCCCATCTCGTCACTGTAATTGTGGCCACTCACTGTCCCATGGGCCACCTCTCTGGTCAGCAGGCCAAGGCCTGAGAGACAATCCCTGAGCCCCTCAGAGTGCAGGGCCCCTGTGTGTCAGCCTGCCCCCCTGTACCCGTGGGAGCCTCCAGGGCTGTGAGCTGCTGGCTTAGGGTCCCAAGGAGGCGGTGGGGCATGGGGGATACTGAGGCTGTCCTGAAGAGGTCCCTAGAAACTGCCAGGCCCGAGAGCAGCACGTGGGGACCTGCTGGGCTCTGAACCGGGCTGTGGAGCTGAGGGTGTGCACCACCCTAGTGGCTGGGGTGTCCGGTCCAGGGATCAACCAACCACCCAGGGCAGTCCTTGGACTGCGTGCTCTGTTAGGGGTCTGTAATGTCAGAGGCGGTTTGGAGTAGGCGGGCTCCAGGGTGTCAGGTGCAGCCACCCCTGACAGGGTGACCTGAGCTCCCAGGGAGCAGACGCAGAGGGAGGTGGGGTGGCACCTCCTGTTCATGCTGCTCAGACGGGGTGAGCAGGACCAGTCCCCCCGGTGGGAGCCGGGTAGAGTAACTGACGGGGATGCCTGTTTCGTGGGGTTCAGCTCGTGTGTTAGGGAGTTCTGTTTTCCAAGAATCGCAGGTGCTGTGAGAGTTTCCATAGCAACAGCAAAAGCACCACTTGTCTGCCTCCAAGCAGTGCGGTGGTGACAGCTCAGGGTTCTCGGGAGGCGGCGGAGGGGACGCAGAGGTCACACAGCTCTTCACACCCGGCCCGGGCGGATGTTGCTTTTGAAGCAAAGAAACAGTGAACTTCCACAAACCACTTCCAGCACAGAGCGCAGGGCGCAGTGACTCTGCCTCCCTGTCCCGATGCAGAGGTCCAGCCATGTGCAAGACCTCCCAGGAGAGGGGCGGCCGGGGAGGCGTGGGGAGACCCCAGGACCGTGGCAGCCGGAGCAGGGGGCGCCTCCTCCGTGCCTGCCGCACGCTCCGCACAGCAGGGCCCTCCTGCCTCTGCCCACTCAGCGTCTGCCTCGAGGACGGTGTCCCTGCCTCGTGACTGGGCTGCGCGGCTTTAAGACTCCAAGATGCGCTCGGTAAAAACAGTCAGAGGCAGAAACAACAGATGGGTGGGAGCGGTGGGCAGGCAGCCCAGGCCGGGCCGGGGTCGCTTAGGAAGGGCGTGTCCCGGACGGAGGTGGACGGAGGCCGCAGGACTCCCCTGCCCTCGGTGCCCAGGTGCTAGGAATGGCGGGATCTCCCTAATTTTGAAACACTTGGGATTTTGAGGTGAAAGATCCAATTTGAAAATGCAGTCAAATCTACCTCATGATCTAAACAGTAAGGCGGGTGTGGACGTGGATCAGGAACCGTGCTGCAGTGAGCCCCGGCTCATGTCCGGGATGCGGTGATCATCTCCGTGTCCTGTCCTTTGGCGTCCCCACCAGGGTGCCGGTGTTGGTGTGGCTGCCAGGGCAGCGTAGGGAGGTGATCAGCTGCACGGGAGCCCGAGGCCAGGACAGAGCCCAGCTCCATGGTGGGTACAGGGCAGGCGACAGCTTTGCCTCTTATTTCTGACTTCCTAGGCAGCCTGGGGAGACGGAGGCTCGCCCAGGGAGCAGCCGCATCTCCGCGGGGTGTGAGTTGCGCTCCACTCCGTGAGGATATAAAAAGCAAAGCAGGGGCGGGCGCCTGGCTGGAACCGGGTTCCCCAGCCCTCGCCACCGTGGAAAAGCCCGCTCTGAGGAGGCGGCCTCCCCAGCACGGCCGCTCCTGGGTGCAGCAGCTGGGGAGCTGGGACGGTGGGCGCGGGGCGGCGGGCGCCTGGCACGGGCGCTCAGGACCCCCTGTCCCCCAGCATATGCGTGAGGCTGCGGAGCGGAGGCAGCAGCTGGAGTTGGAGCATGAGCAGGCCCTGGCCGTCCTCAACGCCAAGCAGCAGGAGATCGAGCTTCTGCAGAAGGTGAGCTGGGCCCCGGGGGACCGGGGAGCCTTGGGGTACTGTGGGGTGCCTAGATTGGCAGGCTCCAAGCTCTCCTCCCCTCCTGGCCACTCCCCTCCTTCTGTGGGCAGCTGCTGGCCTTTCCTGAGCTCTGTGCTTAGGTGTAGCCTGGGAAGCCACGGGGCAAAGAATGGTCTGATCAGGGCTGGCTGGGCCGAGGTCGCCCCACAAAGGCACAGGGAGGCCACCCCACCAGACTGCACCCCTCAGGAAACGCAGGCCCAGGTCTGAAGGAAGGGCTGGGCTGGGTTTTGCAGTGTTGTGTGCATGCATGCATGTGTGGGGGAGGGGTGATGCCACCGTGGGCATGGCTGGGCCTGCCATGGCTCTGTTCCAGGACCCGTTGCTCTTGAGCCCGCCGGGCAGCATGGACAGCTCAATCCCATCAGCAAGGGGAGGACAGAGGCGAGGAGAGGAGGGGAGGGAGGAGGAGAGAGTGGGGAGGGACAGCTGAGTGACCCTGAGGGTCCTCTGGGCACCCGGACAGAGGCCCAGGAAGTCCCCTCCACAGGCCTGTGGTCATCAGCCAGTCCTGCTGTCCGTTCCCACAGGTGGGAAGGTCACTCCCCCAAAAGCCAGGAACACACCTGTCTGAGTCCCTTCCTGGTGCCCTCTCGCCATCGGCCTCCTCCACAGGGCAGCTGGGCCTGCAGCTAGCAAGTGCCTACCAGGGGGACGGAGGGCAGAGCACTGGCCAAGGGGAAGCTGGGCTGCTCTGCTGGTGGTGATCGTGAGCACCGCCCAGTGCCATGCAGGATGCCGGCAGGGACCTGGTGCCCTCTGTGGGCCTCCCCTTCCACGGCCCATCCTGACTGGTTTTCCAATCAGGGCCACGCTGTTGCTGGTCCAGTCCACTGGGAAAGGGACTCAGCCGTCAGGGCTGGCAGGAGCTGGCGCACAGGTGATGCTTCCCCGCCTGTGGCCTGTCCAGTCTCAGCAGCCCTTAGACAGTGGAAGTCACCAAGCCAGAGTGGGCATGGGCGCTGCAGGCCCAGGGGAGATGTCGCTTCTCTGCCCGCCCATCCTTCTGAGACAGATAAGAAGCTGAGAAATTAAATATTCTCCCTGAGGGGCAGGACCTTGCTTCCCAGCAGACGGGTCCCTGGAGCTGGGGAGAAGGGGCCCGGGGTCCCGCCTGTTATCTCTGTGCCTGGTTTTATCCTGTTTTGGGCATGTGGATGCTGCGTCCCTCAGGGCACTGAGGCAGGACAGGGTAGGGTGGGGAGGCACCCACAACTTTGAAGAAGGTTTCCCGGGGAGGTGGAGCACTTCGTGCAGTGAGGCTGATTCTTCCCTGGACTCTCGCCCCGGGATGCCCACACGGGGCCGGCCACACCCACCCTCCAGAGTGCTTCTCCCCCGGCCACCAGCTCAGCCTGCCCACCAGCCACACAGGGAGCCGAGGCTACACCCTCCAGAGGGGCCGAAGTGGATAGGGGCGAGGGGTTAAGGAAGGCTGCGTGGGCCTGTGGGGAGGAGCAGATTGAGGGGTGCGGACGGCAGCAGCTTGGGCAGGAGGGACCTGAGGGGAGCAGATGCCGTGCCTTGCTGTGCACCGGAGAACAGTGGTGCTGGCGTCCTGGGTGGGGGAGCTCAGCCCATCACAGGACAATGGCCATGTGGCCAGTGTCAGGTCTGAGCCTGATGCACGGATTAAGGAGCCCCCATAAAGGCCAATGGTCAGCCCAAGACTGACCTGTCCCCCATGTGATCCTGAGGTGGTTCTGATTGGGACCAGAGGCAGCGCTGCCATGGAGCTGGCCCAGGACGGCCGCCTGGCCTCCCCCGTCACCCTGAGAGCGGGCTGTCCTGACTGCCCGCTTAGTCCACCACCTCCCCCACAGTCTGCACTGGGTGTGTTTCCCTCCTCCTCCAGAAGCTCTGGGGCCTCTCCCCTCCTAGGACCCCGAGACCCCGGAGCCCCAGCCTGGGGAGGCTGCATGCAGAGCAGGTCTTTCACCCACCTTTGGCCACTCAGCATCTGGGACGGTGGGGTGGAGGTGCAGGGTGGCTTTGCTCTGCCATGGGCTGGGGGACCCGGGGTCCACCTCCCCTTTCCACTGGCCACCTGGCACTGGTATTGGGGACCCTGGCACCTCAGCACATCCTGCTGCCCATAAGGGTAGGTGACGCAGGACTGCTGTGCATGGAACCATTTCCCACCTTAAAGAGCAAACCGAACAAGGTGCGGATGCCGGGGTGCAGCGGCGAGGGGGTAATGGGAGCCCCGGCAGTGACCCCCCAGGGCCTGCTGCTGCCTCACATGTCCGGGCGGTGCCCAGATACCTCACACCTGTCCCAGCCCCGCCTGACTTTGCCACACCCTGACTACCCTCCCTCTGGGCTCTTCGCCGGGAAGCTTTGTGCCCAGGTCTCTGTGGAGGTGGCTCATTGTCACCATGAAGTCACCCTGATGAGATGTCACTTTAGTGTGGGACTCGGGACGCTGCCAGCCAGAGCAGCTGCCCCCCAGGGCAGGGGAGGAAGGAGATGGGGGGCTGGCAGGGCGCTGCAGAAGCAGCACAGGGTCCAGGTGCTGCGAGAGAGCCCAGTGCTGGATCCTCCCCCGCTGCTTCGGGCGGTGTTGAGTGGATGCCCGAGCGTGCCCACCGTTCCCCGGCAGCTGGGGCATGAGCGGGACTATCACCTTGCCCTGGGTTAGGCCTGGGCTCCAGGTCCTTGCAGTCTGTCCCTTCCCAGGACCATGTGGTTATGGGGTCCTTTCCGCCTGGGAGCCGCTCACTGCGTCTCAAGGCTCTTTTGCAGTTGGGTGCTAAGAGGGTCTGTGCCCACGGCCTGACCCATACCCCCTGCGATTCTGTGCTTCCAGGAGGCCGAAGGCTTTTTTGTTGAACCTGCCGGGTGCGGAGGGCATGCAGGAACCCCCTGCCCACCTCGTCCCCCTCTGGTGCCCCTGGGGCAGCAGTGCGACCCCAGATTCCCCATCCTGCCCAGCACCAAGCTGGGACCTGGTTGAGGCCCGGGTGGCACCCGCAGTTCTGAGGGTGCATCAGCTTCTGGGCACTGCAGATAGTGCAGGGTGGGCCTCGCCCGCTGCACCCCACCCCACATCCCTCGTCCCAGCCCATCGTGGACACTGAGCACTCAAATGTGGACCGGTGGCTCCAGGGACAGGGCTGCCTTCTCAGGGACCCTTCCTGCAGGAGGCCCGCCCTGCCCTGACCTGGGACTCTCCAGGACAGGCTCCTTCTTTGGCCTCAGGGGGACAACAGCTCCCCCACAGCCCTGAAATGAGCTCGCTGGGCTGGGGCTGCAGGAGCGCAGTGCTGCCTTCAGAGTGGTCCCCGTCACTGTATCCTGACGCCCACCCCAGCGGCCCAGAGCCCCATGCCCACCACACCAGCTCTGAGGCTTGCCAGGAGCCGGGGGCTGCTGCCACTGCCAGCTTGGAGCCCCAGCCCGGCCTGGTGCCCAGGCGGCCCCTCGCAGCGCTTTGATTCAGCGCTGTGTTCTCGTCCTCTGTGAGCTCCCCAGCCACCTCCTTTCCCTTTCCAGTTTATTTCAGCGCCGTCTGCGCTGTTTTTGCTCAGAAAGGAACAATTTTAAGCACGTGCTGCTTGGGCTGAGCTCAAGAATTCTGTAACCCCGCTTGGCTTTCAGCCCCGGGAAGCACGGGTGAGTGCGGGGGGCGAGGCCCCGGAGCCCAGGCTGCTGCTCAGCCAGCGCCAAGAGCCCCCTTCCACGTGCGCGATCCCGCCACTGTGAAGTAGAAGCTGCTAGGATTCAGCTTGCTCATCTGCAGTGTGGGGAGCGGGGAGCGCGTCTCGCCTCCACCCTGGAACCACGAGCCCGAGCATGGCTCCCGTGTGAGGAGACAGCCGTGCCCAGCGACCTGAGCAGTCCTGTCCCAGGTCGGGCTGTCGGCTTGGGGCTGCTGACCCCCACCATTGCTCTCTGACTTTAAAACCCGTCGAATCACACGCTTAGCCGTGGAGGGCGGCTTCGTCAGGACGTCACTTCCAAGTGAGGAGCAGCCACGGGAGGAAATTCTGTTGGTGCGCGTAGCTGGGGATGCTGCCACAGACGGTGGACCCGGGGCCCTGCCAGCTGGCGTCGCCTCTGCCGGAGCCCGGAGCCCAGTGCCAGCCGGAGCCCTGTCTCTCCACCCGCCCGGGCTGGCTGCTCTCTTGGGGAGGATGCCGCCGCCCCAGCCGGCCCCTCATGGTGACACGTGGCTGCCACCACTCCCACCTTTGCCCCAAGGCTCCGTCCAAAGGGGAGGGATCTCCCTCTGCCACTCTTCTGGCTGCTGGAGCTAAGCCACATGCCCACCCAGAAGGCCGAAGCCACAGGTCCTGCTCTGGGTGTGGAGGACAGGGCGTCACAGTGGCACTGCCCAGGCCGTGGAAAACTCTTGTACGATATCTCCTCCGGGAGCAGATGGTTCTACCTCGGGGCTGGGTTCCAGGGCTGCCCTGGCTCCTGCCTAGAGGGGCACAGCCCTTGGGCCGGGCCTCTGGGGGACCTGAGGCCCAGGGTTGAGTTGCCCAGGGAGGATTTCAGGGCAGTGGAAGTGCTGCACAGGCTTCGGTGGACACTGCTGGTCACTCTGGTTCAGCCAGCATCTGTCTGCCCGTGGGCATCGTGGGGACCGTCCTCAGGGTCAGGGCCAGGAGCACCCACCCGGCCAAGGCCGAGTCCCCCTCTCCTGCCCTCCCAAAGGCCAGGCCCACCTGAATCCACACCTCCCCTCCCCTGCCCGTGCAGACCTCGGGCTCCAGGCGACACCGGCCCGTCCCTGTCTGCCTGACGCTGCTCTTCTGTCTCCGTCACCCACAGGCTCAGGTTGAAGCCAAGAAGGAGCATGAGGGGGCAGTGCAGCTGCTAGAGGTGAGTGCAGGCCCCTCTCGGCCACGGCGGCCTAGCCAGGTGCCCGCTGTGCCCAGACAGTGCTCGGGATGCTGGGCTGTCACACTGCTCTCATGGGAGCCGGGGTCAGTCTCCATCTTTACCAGAGGGGAAACTGAGGCACAGGGATGCCACCACGTTCCCTTGGCCGCAGGGCCGGGCGACGCTGTCGACGCTGTCATCCTGCATCACCCGTCCTGGCAGATTGCTGGGGACAGGAGATCAGGTGTGCAGGGGGAGAGAAGGGAGGACCCGGTGACCTGGTGGCAGTGTCACCTGCCTGGGAGTGGCCCTCTGTCCCCTGGGCCGTCCTCAGTGGCCCCAGTGGTGGGGCTTGGAAGGCAGGTGGCCATTTCATCGGTGCTGCTAGTGTGGCACTTGGAAGTGGCCCCACCTGTTTTTGGCTCTGTCCCCCACCAGCCTCCTGCAGGACTGCGAGCAGGCAGAGAGCGGCTGGCCTCTTAGGTGACCCCAAGGCTTTGGCCCTCACCCTGTAGGCACGTAGGGTTGCGCCTGTCCAAGACAGGGTGGGAAGCGGCTCCTGAGGGTACAATCATGTGGGAGTGCCCCGAGGGCAGAGGTCAGGAGGAAGTAAGCCCTTCGGACAGAGGTCTCTCTCGGCTTCCTGCGTTCCAGAAGGCCTCTCTGGATGAGGGACTGGGCTGCCCTCTGTCAGGTGGCCTGTCCTCTGTTTCCATCCTCCGTGTGCCTCCCTGACAAGGCCTTTCTAGACCGGACCTTCCCTCAGGAGAAGGCCCATCGCTGTCCTGTACGGAGACCAGGTTCCAGGACTCGCCTGCCAGCTCACAGGCACCTGGTGCTGGTCTGGGCAGCGGCTCTAGCTTGTCCTGTCTGGGATTGGACTCAGCTGCCCTGCCCAAACTCTGCTGTCTCCTGGCTGGGCCTGGGGTCCCTTCCCCCCCCCGGAGCCCCCTACTTGGTAGCCCGGGTCCTTTCTATGGCCTCTAGTGGCCGCCATGGGCTGTCCCCGAGCTGCGGTGGACGTCTGAACCGCGGTTCTGGTGCAACACGGAGAAGGCCGCCCGGTGGCCGTGGCCCTCTGCTCACCGCCTCTTCCTGTGCTTGTGCCCTGCTTGGCCACCCAGAGCACCCTGGACAGCATGCAGGTATTTCCCTGAGCCCACGTGCCTGGCTGTGCTCTCCCGTGTGGCTGCCCTGAGCCCTGGGCCAGCTCTGTCCCCCACCCCGGCTCCTCAAGTTCTGACCCTGGCAGCTTTCTGGCTTGGAGGGGTCGGGGTCATGGCCTGGGAGCACTCTCTGGAGCCCAGAGCTGTCTCAGCGCACAGGTTTCCCATTCTCCACCCGAGCTGTCCCCGCCAGGCTGGTCCCGTGAATCTGGATGACCACGGGGAGGAGAAAGCATCTCCCTGGGTGACACTTGATGGCCCAGACGAGGTCACCGTCATCAGGATTCACAGGGAGCCCTGAGCACCTGCCTTCCCGCCCTGCTGCTGGTCCCCAGAAAGCTCCTTCATTGGGCAGAGGGGACCCGGGTCCTCCAGGCCTCGGCATCCACCTCCCATGGCGAATCAGAGTAGGGCCTAGTCCTGCGGGGCTGGGGTGCAGACCGATGGCCCGGGCAGCTGTCCTGGGACACTGGGAAGCAGGGGTGTGTGTGGGGGGTGACGCTGTGACACTCAGACGGTCAGACCCGAGGCCCAGTCTCCCTCTAAACCCGGAAGTGCTGACCCAGAGACTCGAACAGATGAATGTCCTTGTCCTCGGAGGGTGTAGCGCATCCCAGGGTCACCAGGGAGACTGGACCGCCCCTGGCTGGAGGGTTATGGTGCTGGGCTACCTTCTGCTGCAAGGTCCAGCTCCGCCCTCTGCCAGCCGGGGATCCCACTGGTAGCATGGGGCTCCGAGGGCAGTGAGTGTCAGGAGTTAACCGAGCTGACCGCAGGGAGCCCTGGTGTGGATGGCAGCCCAGGTCCAGGGAGGTCCCGACCCAGGCAGCTCCAGTGGTATCATCCTGCTCCTCTCGCGGGGACAGGGACCCGGAGGCACAGCTGGGTTGGGTGACTTGCCGTGGCGTCCTAGGAGGGTCCAAAAAGGACAAGGCCAAAGCACCTTGCACCCCAGCAGTCAAAGTGAGCCTGGCCAGGCCCTGCCCTGCCGTGCGGGGAGGTGGTTAGCGACTCTGCAAAGCCCTGGCTGCAGGGGATGCTGCCAAGTCACAGGCTGCAAGGAAAACAGTTACATGCAGGACACAGAATTTACAGTATTATTTATGATTATTTATGACTCCTCACTCAAGGAATCGAATTCAAAGAAAGTGCAGGAAATATGTCCGCACACTAAGGCCCTAGAGCTGAGGATCTGCTGAGTGCCTGGATCCCTTGGCAATAACCTGCATGAGTCCAGCTGGAGCTCAGAGCCCACAGCAATGACTCATGCAAGTCTGCTTCGTAGATCTGCTCTGGGAAGGCCCAGAGTCAGCAGTGGAAGCTAGAAAGTCTGTGCCAGCAGCTGAGGATCTGCACTGGAGCCAGGAAGCGATGCCCAAAGGAAGAACCAGGGCTCCCTTGAGGAGAACCGCAGCCTTCCTCAGCAGCAACGAGGTGCCTAGCTCCTCTGATGATGAGAACAGCCGAGTTCATACCAGGAAGCCAGCGGGACAACTTCTCCTGGAGATTAAACAGCACACATCTTCCCATCCGGGGCCAGGAAGCCATGCTCGAAGCAAGGACCAGGGCTCCCCAGAGTGACCCGCAGCCACTCTCAGCGACAACGATTCCAAACTCTGACACAGAACAGCTGAGCTCCTGTCAGGAAGGAAGCTCAGCAGCTCCCCCAGGAGAGCCCAGCCAGCAGGAGCACCGACACCTCTTCCCCCTCCCCGGTCTCCTCTGTGTGCGGGCAGCAGCCCCAGGAGGGCCCTCCGCACCTGGCACTACGCTGACACTGGCTCAGTTCACTCAGGTGACCGCCGGTTGTCAAACCCCACAGCTGCCATCAGATTTGATCTTAAACCGCAGACCTCCTGCTGCTGCTCACTTCACTGATGGTCCGGACACCAGCCCGTGGTCACCCAGCTGGACCCCAGGGCGCTGAGGACCCCGATGCCTGTGGAGGTCTCAGAATGGCATCTCCTCCCAAGCTTGTCACCAGGAGCGTCTGGCAGCTCGGTGACTGGTCCTCCAGGGCCCCCATGGGTGTTTTTGCTGCCTCTCCTGACACTGTCCCTGGAGCTGGTGTCACCTCTAGCCATCTCATTTTGCACACACCAAACCCGCCTTGCAGCCTCTGGGTGAAGTCTGGAAGTCTGTGGCGAAGGCCAGGGCAGCAGCAGCTTGCGGTCAGGCCCTGAGTTTGCTCTGTGCTCACAAACACAACACCGGCAAGTCTGTGTGTCCCCATCTCAGAGCGTCGGTCACAGCCAGCACACCTGGTCTCAAGTGGCCTGCCCTGCCCTGCCACCTGCAGGCACACCCAGGTGACTGTGCCACCTGCCTGCTCGCCACCTGCCACCTGGCACTCAGAGTAAGAACTGCTGTGCAAAGACACCTGCCATGGGCACGGCCAGGGTGAGGCTGGGCCGCCCCCAGCTCCTGGAAGGAAGCAGGCGGCCTGGTGGTGACCCACGGGCAGTTGGGTCAGCGCTGTGGTCCAGGTGCATGGAGGCCATGAGCCCGAGCACAGGTGTGGATTCTTTTACCTCCACTCAAGGCCCGATCTCTGCCCAGGAAGGGGCTACGTAGCCCCTGGTGTCTCGCCCATGAGCAGTGCAGCCCTCTGGACCACCAAAGCTGGGCGTCAATGTTCACTTTCCTGGCGGTGTGTCTTCCCCCAAAGCTGGTGGGTGACAGATCCCTGGGTCCCAGGACACCGGGAAGGCCATCCAGTCCAGCTGCTGCTGCGGGGATACAGCTGGCACCTGGCGGGTGCATGGCTGTCTCTAGACATGACCAGCTGAGCAGAAGCCCCTGCCAGAAAGGAGAGATTTTCTATGGGAACCAAGATCCCTGCCTCTCCAGAGACCTGAGTTGTGCCGGGGAGAGTGACACAGGCCTGGTGGGCCCCGTCCAGGGCCTCAGCTCTGTGCAGGACCACTCACTGCCCTGTCCACCCTAGGGCTGTCTCACCCTCAGCAAGGTGAGCCGGCCTGCTGGCCTCGCCCTGCCAGGCTGCCCCCTGCTCAGGGGTCCCGGCCTCCTCCACAAGAGCAGAGGCTTCTGGCTGCTGAGGGACTGTCTGGTCACGGCCCTGGGCATCAATGCTCGTGGGGGCCACGACCCACGGGGTGTCTTAGTTACTTTTCTTCATGCTGGGACAAAATACCCAGCACTCACAAGTTAGAGGAGGAAAGATTTATTCTGGTTCACAGTGTGCAGAAGTTTCAATGCATAGCTATCTCCAAGCCAGGGTGGCGTGGCAGAGGAGAAACAGTCCATGACGGGGCAGGCAGGAGGCAGCAACAGCAGCAAGCCTGCCTTTCCTTTTATCCCATCTAGGCTACAAGGTGGTGTTGCTGACACCAGGGTGGGACTTCCCATTATCTACACTCAGAACTATGCTGATTCCAATCCATGGACTGATTTAGTACCACACACCCTTAATCCCAGTGTCACACACCCTAGATCCAGTCAGTGCCAGAAGCCCCAGGTCTGAGCACATGAGGCTTTGGGGGGCGTCCAGACACAAGCTGTAACAGGCTGGCTCCCGGGTGTCCTGTGTCTGTGGAGCTGGGGCGTCCCACTGGGCGGTTCTCTGTCTCCCAGGGTCAGCCAGGCGTGGCCTGCTTGGGTCCCTGCCTCTCTGAGATGAGACGTCTGCAGCTCCCATGAGCAGGCTGTTTGGGGGCAGCTCTGACGGCTCGCCGCCGCCCTCTGCTTGAGCTGGGGTGCCGCAGGCTCGGTTCCACTCAGGGTTGTCCACGCTGCTGTCCACCTTGGCCGGGACAGGTTTGCACACGTTTGTCCACTGTGGCCCCTGAGCACCACTGGATGCCCTCTCCAGGCCCTGGAGGACCCTGCGGGACAGAGGGGCCACACAGCCTGCACCCAGGGCCTTCCTTGGGCACGGGCCCCCGCTGCCAAGGCATGAACTGCATGGTTTCCTCTGTGCCCACACAGCTCTGTGCCACATTCTGTAGTTTAAAATTCACTTGACTTCAGACCTTCTCATTTCTGAAATAACTTTAGACTCACGAGGACCCCCAAGACAGTCCTATGGACCTCGCCACATATCCTCAAGGAGGGGTCTCCGGGCCTGTGGGGCAGGGCTCCTTCCGGGGGTTGCAGGTCATTTTTGGATCTTAGCTCTGCGGGAACTGGCTGTGTAAGTGGGTTCATGGGGTCCTGCCACAGTCTGTGACCAGAGGGTTCAGTGTCCAGCAACTCCCCTGTGCTCACCGCTCCCCAGCCGAAAGCCCCCTCCAGTGCTGTGTCCTCTGGGCTTCAGTTCTGTCATCTGGGGATGTTACACGAGCGGCCATAGTTGGCCTCCTCTGTAGGCCCCGGCAGCAGAAGTGGGATGCTTGGGACATTTCCTCTGCACATTGGACCTATGCAGGACGCTTGGGCTGTCTGCTGCCCCAGAGCCCGGTCCCCCACCCCCTGACAGTGCCTGTAGCCCTTTGGCTAATGTGTGAGTCCAGGGCGCCCCTGTGTCCTCCTGCCCACACGCTCAGGCCACTGCTCCACTGAGGGCCCCTGCTGCCCTCGGGGAGCCTGGCACTGTCCGAGAGCTGAGCTGGTCCTGAGCCCTGGCCCCGAGGAGGAGCCCAGCATCGCCCCTGTGTGGGGAGCCTCCGGTTCCGTCCGCACCTTCCTCCTGCAGCAGGTTCCCGGCCAGAACCACTCAGCTCTTTAAAACAAGAATCCTGCTAAGTTTTAAAATGAGTCTAAGAAATTAATTATAGGCTTGGGATCTGTCAGGTTTATTTTTAGAAGTTCATGATCTCAACATAAATAGGGACGCGTTCTGGACGAAGGAGCAGAGATGCTTGGTGCCCGTGGGGAAGGGGAGAATGAGGAGGAGGAGGACTCACAGCTGATCTGCCTGGGCCGGGGGACCCCTCGCCCCCAGCCCCCGTTCCTCCTGTCGGTGTGAAACACGGACTGAGCTGCACCTCCAGGGCGGTGCCAACTCCTGCACCGGGTGCCGGGAGCCCCACGGGAGGCTGGAAGAGGAAAACCTGCCCTCGGCCCTGGGGCCAGCAGGGAGCCAGGCCACGCGAGGGACCAAGGCCTGGGAGCACGGGCACCGCAAGGGTGGACCTGCCTGCAGACGGGACAGGCCACCCCAGGAGGCACAGGGACTGCACGACCGTGTACTGGGCTCCATGGTGTTGAGAACCAGCACGCAGAGGCAGGCACAGGCCTGCGGTCCGCTGCGGATAGCAGAATGTAGTCGGGGAGCTGATAGAAGGGGGTGTGGAGGTGGAGGGGACCCCCAGGGGCCCTGGCCCTGTGGCTGCTTTTGTGACTAGGGCAGGGGCGGGACGGAGCAGCTTGGCAGAAACCCGCAAAGGGGGAGATGGTTATTCACAACGGCCTCTGCTGGCCAGCCTGTCTGCCCGTGGAGGGAGCTCTCTGAGTGGTCCTTGTGCTGTGTGTGTCCCTTGCCTGGGCTCCCGAGATGCCTGTGACGTCTGCCCACGGCAGCTCATCACAACCCTGCCCTGTGGGGGAACCCCCGGCGGGCGCTGCTGCAGCAGGTTCCCTGGGGTTCTGTGGTCCCGGGGCAGGTGCCCCAGGGGGAGGTGTCACATGGGTGGGACAGCAATGGGGCCACCCCAAGCCAGAGCCGGCCTGGCCTTGCATTCCAGACTCCAGCGTCGGGCAGGGCGCCAACCACCAAGTGCCTGCTGGGCACGCAGCCCGGCAGGCCCTGCCGTTGGCCGTCAGCTGAGCATCTGCAGGGTTTCCGGGCACGGTGGCTGCCGGGGGAGCTGGGCGGTGGAGGCGGCACCCGCCACACCTGGGCACTCACACAGGCACTCTGGTCTGCACAGCACGTGTGTGTGTGTGTGTGTGTGTGTGCGCGTGTGTGCGTGTGTGGCCTCCCCACCCCACCCCCGGCCACCCGCTGATCTGTCCACCACGTGCAGTGCAGGGTCCGGGAGCTGGAGGAGAAATGCCGGACACAGAGTGAGCAGTTCCATCTGCTGTCTCGGGACCTGGAGAAGTTCCGGCAGCACGCAGGGAAGATCGACCTGCTGGGTGGCAGCGTGGTGGCCTCGCTGGACGTCCCCGGGGTCCCTGGCAAGGCCTTCCCGCAGTTCGTGAACGGACTGGCCACCTCCATCGGCAAGGGTGAGTGCCTGCCCTGCCGCCCCGCCCTGGTGCACTCCGGTGGGGAGGGCTGAGTGTCCGTGGCTGGCAGGGACCTTGAGGACGAGACAGCATAGGACACTGGTGCCCCTGCTTGTGCAGCACCCTGGGGCGGCCCCCAGGCACCTTGCTGCTTGTCCACAGTACAAGCGGCCAGTGCTGGCCCTAGGGAAGCTGAAGCGCTTGGGGCTCACACGGTGTGCACAGAGTGGGGGTGCCCAGGGGCCTCGCCGGGGCCCGTGCTGCTGCCCACGGTATGGCTTCAGGAGAGAACGGGCTGGGGGAGGAGGGTGACCAGGGTCTGTGCCCCTTCCCTTGTTTGGAGCCGAGTTTGGGGGCTGATGCTGTGACACCAGCCAGATGCCAGGGCAGCGCAGATGGGAAGGCGGTGGGTAGGAGGTGGGGACAGGGCCTCCGGGGCCTCCCTCCATGAGAGCTACACAGCACCCTCCACCAGCGGGAAGGACAGAGGCCCTGCTGGAGGCCATCGGAGGCCCCGTACCGTGTTTCAGGGAGTGCTGATCATGGGGGTGCGTGGCAGGAACCCGGCTCCAATTCCCTGAAGCAAAGCACGTTAGGGTATCAGCCCTCCTGAGTGTACCTGGGGGGCCCAGCCAGCGCCTTGGCTGTCGGGGGACACCTGGCGGCGTGGGGCACACCTGGCAGCGTGGGGCACACCAGCCAGGGCATGGACTTGCATGCAGACACGGACTGGGACACTGTGCCCTTGTGGGGATGCAGGGTACAGACAGATGAGGCGGGCGGGTGTTTTCCTGGGAACTCAGTGGTAACGGGAAGTGAGACACTGCTTAAAACCATTTGCTTTTCCCCGGGAACCCGGCCTGCATTGTGGCTGTGGTGTGGTTCCGTGACCGCACGGATTCCAGCCTTAACCTCCCCCGAGGCTCACATCCTTGGCGGTCTGTTCGTTTCTGTAGAGCACTGAGTCTTGGGAAGAGAAGACAGCTTTCTGTCTGCAGCCTCTGTGTTTAGTAGTGGAGTTTGTACTTACGCACTATATTAATTTTCCATCACGGAAAATCGGACAAGCTGTGACGTTTTTTCTAAGTGGGACGGAAAACGGACCTGAAAACGACCTCTTTCCCTCCGTCTTAGTAAATCTCTGTGTGTGGGACGCTTTATCACTATTTTTAATTTTTAAAAGCTGCAACGTCCCCCTGTGGGGAACGTCAGTGTACAAGGGGCAGTGTGATGCTTCCCCCGTGAACACGTCCATGGTGGGAAGCAGCGTGGCCTGGGCCAGGCCGGGAGGCCAGTGCCTGGAGCTCAGGAGCAGGCTCGTCCTGTCGGGAGCCATCCGAGCCCGGTGCGGTGTGCTTTGTAGAACACGTGACGGGCTGCTGTGTGCCGTGGCTGCCCACTGCTTCCGGCCCTCTCTGGTCACGGCATCCTAGGCCAGACGTCCAGGAGTAACTCACGGGTGTAAGCCAGGCTCTGGTCTGTGACTAGTGTGTCCACTGGCCGCAGCCACTGCCCTCCGCTGTCTGCTTTTAAGGCGAAGCTTTGGGTTACTTTTTTCTGGTTGCTGAGAGGAAATATCTGATGCCCAAATGAAGGAAGGAGAGGTTTATTTAGCTCACAGCGTATGGAAGTTTCAGTCCATATTCAGCCCGCTACAAGGCAGGGTAGCGTGGCACGGGGCAGCCCTTCAAGGCAGCAGCCAGCAAAAGCAGCCAGAGTAAAGAGAGTTGGGGGCACTTACACCGTCCCCTGCCCTCCTGGCTCCCTGCTGAGTCTCTCTCAGTTAAACTTCTAAACTGCTCAAGTGGACACAAGGTGTGGACCATCACACCTGGTCAGAGCTGCCCTTGGAGATCAGGAAGTGTCCCACCCAGGTGACGATGGAACGCCACCCGCCTGGCCCCGATCCCTCCAGAGCCGAGGCACCGGGGTCCCTCCAGACCCCGGTGCTGGCCCTCGGGGCTCAGGTCTCTGTCTTCACTGTGTGTCTGCCTCGGGCTCCTGACGGGTCCCTGACGCAGCAGCACTCGGGTCTCACTTCCGGGGACCACAGCTCTGGCACAGGCTTTGTAGATGCTTGCGCCTCAAGAGCGTGCACGTGGGACAGCCCGTTGAGGGCCTGTGTTTGTGTCGTGGTCACTGTGTCCTTGCTCAGATACAATGCCAACTCCAACAAGTTAAGGAGGTTTATGTGGGGTCACGGTTCAGTCCATGACCTGCTCTCTCCAAGGCAGGGCAGCAGGGCATAGGTGTCCAGTGGAGGAGGCCAGCTTGGGGCATGGTGGACAGGACACAGAGAGAAGGGAGGAGCTGGAGGGAGCTGAGCCCTTCCGGTCAGGCCCCACCTCCCAAGGCAGACGTGGTCAGCTCCAGGCCCACCCACCTCCCCAGAGCCTCTGTGCGTGTGTGGCTTTGGGGGCGCCTAGCTGCAAACCAGGGCAGTTCTAAGCTGCTGTCTGCCCATCTGCTGGACGGCAGGACAAGCTGCTGCGGAACTTGTACAAGTCAGAGGGGACACAGGAGACCCTGCTGTGATATCTACTCTGTCACCAGGACAGGGCATCCCCAGGCCAGGCTCCGTGCTGCTGTGGTGACAACCCCGGTGCTGGCCCTCGGGGCTCAGGTCTCTGTCTTCACCATGTGTCTGCCTCCAGCTCCTGACGGGTCCCTGAGGCGGCAGCACTCGGGTCTGCAGCAGAGGCTGGCTGTGTGTGTGTGGCGGCCGTGTGCCAGGCACGGCTCTGGTAGGAGGAACAGGCCGCCCCCAGGCTCCTGCCCACCACACTCGGTCAGCCTGGCACCTCCGGGCTCTGTCATTTGGAGGCTGCTTCTCCCCAGCTCTGGCTCCCGTCAGTGAGCTTTCCTCCTCCTGGTGGTGAAAGGGCTGCAGTGTCACCGAGCCTCACAGCCCCTCCACTTTGAGCTGAGGAAGGTGAGAGCCTCTTTGCCAGGGAGCCCCGCTCATCTCTCTGGCTGGACCCTTTTGGAGCCAGGAGGCACCAAATCCTCACGCAGCCATGGGGGTGCTGCTGGGTAGACAGGCCAGAGTGGGTTTGGGGTGGAACAGTCGCTGTGGTGTCTGCTCTCACCGTCTGATGGCGATGTGTCCCCGCCAGGTCACGAGGGATCCGCTGGGAATTACTCTGTGACCAGGGACCACACTCTGATCCCCGGGGAAAAGCCAGAGCCTCCAGGCTCCGCCAAGCCCAGCTTCCTTTCGAGGTCCAGCAGCCCAAGATGCAGATTTGAGTCCGACGTGAGTCCCCCGCTAGCCGGCTCCACGTCCTCTGCGTCCCCCCTTCCTGTCGTACGCCCTCCCCTCTCCTGTGTCCACTGAGTCCTGAGTGTCCTTACTGCCTGCTCAGGCTGGGGGTCCTGGTGGGCACGGTGGCCGTGCAGTGGGCAGGGACCACAGTGTCCGGTCAGCCCCTCCCACCCCAGGGCGTCCCTAACCTGTTGTAGGTGAAGGAGGTGAAGAAGCTGGATCTCCCCGAAGCAAACCCGAGACAGCAGGCAGAGGTGGGGATGGGTGCGGGGCCCGCCCGTCCCCCTCCTGTGTGCAGGGCACCCTCAGATGCCCGAGGGCAGGGGACACATACCGGGCGTCCCTGGGCCGGGTGCGGCTGTGTGGGTGTCTGCAGCCTGGGCCGTTCCCCAGGGCCTGGTCCTGGCAGGGTCCCCCGTGTGTCCCGGTGGGGACACTGCTCACCCAGCACACGTGTGTCTCCACAGATGGACAATGAACGGAACCCCAATACCTCAAAGCAGAGATACTCGGGGAAGGTCCACTTGTGTGTCGCCCGCTACAGGTGAGCACCCCGGCCCAGCTGCCCTCAGCGGGGCGAGCGGTTCAGTGTGGCCCATGGCTGGGGGCTTGGCTGTGTGCGCTGGCTCCAAGGGGGAGCGTCCGGTGGAGCAGAGATGATCGACCCCGAGGGGCAGGAGGCAGAGCCGGGCAGCAGGCCGGGGAGGAAGGTGCAGGACTGGATTCGGTTCCCAGGGCCGTGGCTGCATCCGTCGTCCCCAGAATGCCCCCCCCCCCCCAGTATAGAGGGCGCCGGGGCCTCCCTGGCCGGTGCGGGCTCTGGGCAGAACTGGACAGTGTGTGAGTCTCTGGAGCTGACAGCCGTGGACGTGCTCCGTGCATGTGACCACTTCCACAGCACGGTGGCTGGCTGTGACCCTCGTGGGCTCCAGGCAAAGGTGCCCACTGCCTTCTCCAGCTCGGGAGCCCGGGGTGCTCCTCAGCCCGTGGCCACAGTGCTGGGTCCCTGCCTCTGTCTGCACACGGCCTCCTTCTGGGCATGTGTGTATCCCTCTGTGCCATCTTGATGGCATCTGCAGAGACCCTGTGTCCAGATGGGGGCACAGCTCAGCCTACAATAGACATTAAACAGGGTGTCACAGCAAGGTGGTGTTGTTCAGGGCCCCTGTGGTGCTCCCGTGTCCTCCCTGCCCAGTCCTGCCCAACTTCTGGACCGGAGGACCTTTGGTGGCTGGTCAGCAGTGTGGCCGTGGTCCCTGACAGCTTCTTGCCCCTGAGGCTCGGGGCTCACGCAGTCTCTGTCCTCCGCTGTGCTGGTGACCTGTGTGCATGGCTGGCCCAGGCCCCGGACAAGACTCAGCTCTGCCCCAGCGCTGGTGCCCGGCTACTGCCTGCACAGGACAGGGGAGGACAAGGGGCTGGAGGCCATGGGTGCCATGAGGCCACCTTCCCTCACTCTGGGCAGTGACCTTCGATCCCCCTGGCTCACGGCCCGCCTGCAGGCCATGACCTCAGCCCTTCTCCTCCGGCCAGGCTGGCTTCCCGCAGCCTCTGCTGACCGTGGTGGTGTTTCCTGCTGATTTCAAGTCTGTCAGCTTCCCACGTCTGACAGGCAGATGACAAGTGCAGCGGCCACTGCTGGACAGGGCTGCCCTGGGTGGTGGCTCCCCCACTGTGTGTCCTGCCACTCTGTTCCTGCTGCATGGACCACAAGGCAGGGTCCACAGGGCAAGGGCAAATCTTAGAGAAACTGCTCAGCTACCCTTGGTGCCGGTGCACAGGGCCAGGGGCCAGGTGGCTGGGCTGCCCCTTCTGAGTGCCAAGCCGCCCCCTGGTGAGCCCCGGGCGGCCAAGGCCAGGCAAAGGTTCAAGATCCCCTTTCCGCCCACCTGCAGCTGGCCAGGGTTCACCCCTGGACCAGGAAAGTGGGGCCAGAAGAGACTTGGGTGAGAATTGCCCTGGATGGGGGCAAGCGCCCCGATTGTGCTCCCAATATCACAACGTTGGGAGTCTCGGCTCCCCTCCCAGGCTGCCAGGGCTGTGAATAACACCTTTGCTTTCCTGGCTGAGATTCAACGGTGGTCAGCTGAAGCAGCCAGGACAGTGTGGTGGCCACTGAGCCACTCGCGGCCGGCAGCTCCAGGAGTGGCAGGAGCAG